TTGATAGAGTACTTAAGAACAAAAGCCATAGACATAAAAATCAAGAGATTTGGTTAAGAATCTCACTCAAAATCGGTGAAAAACCGAGACTTTTTATTCTAGATTTCAAACTCAGATTTCTCTCTCAAAACTCAACGATTTTTTCTAGCTCTTTGAACCAAAATGATCCTAAGCCAGTGTTCTATATTTATATGCAAGAGTTTTGGCTTATTAGTTGACGAAATCGGACCAAATCACGAGTTTTTGGTTGAGGGGACGTTTTCTTCAAACAAATATGTATTGTTGGCAAAACAGGTCCCTCATCTTTGAAAAAGATGACATTCGGTCCCCTCAAGTTTCTGACATTTACAATTAGACCTCTCCTGACGTGATATATTACATTTTTGGTCCAATAATAAAAGAAAAAAAGTTATTTTTTATTTTCCTTTTTGTCTTTCTTTTCATTATTTATTTATTTAAGATTTCTACAATTATTTCATTTAATTAATTATGTAAATATTTTAACATTTCAAATGAATTTAATAAAAAAATATATTTAAATGCATATATAATATTATTTATATATAAAAAAATTGGGTTTTACAATCTGATATGCCTTCACTAAAGCCCAATGTCAACCTATTACTTCGAATTTTTCTCCATTTTGCTAGCTAGTGTAGACTTAGGCTTATAAACCCATAATTTCTAAAGCTTTCCTATGTGGGACTAGAACTAGCCTAATACCCAACATAAACGGTGTAAAGGAAATGATGCAATGATTACCAAAAAATATATGAAATCCATATCGTTTTTCCTCATTGTGTTCAATGTTCATCTTCGTTCATGTGTCTTATTTGTTCATTTGCTACTATCAATCCTTTTGCTTGAATATTGAGTGATTGCGATTCTCCGCCATTTTTGAGGCTTCGATTCAGTGATTTCAAGTTTGAGAGAGTTATGTTCTACTGAATGAGTAAAATGTGAGAATTTGAGTACATTTTGGACAAAATTTTGATGAAAATAACTTAATAATCAATCTAGGGTGATTATCATTTTCTGCCGCCTATTTTGATGCAATTGCAAAATTTTGCAAAACTACCCATTTAACTTCCATATACTTTTTATTGTACGCTCCAATCATCCGTTACTTAAGAACGAGCTCCTCTAATCTTGACCAGTAAGTTTTTGATTGCAAGGGCTAGGATGACTTCTCTATTTCTCATATATTTATGGCTTCTCATTTAAATAATATCACATATGTAGTGTAAAACCCAAAAATTTCGGGGAATAAATAATTTTATCTTCATTAATATTCTTTTCATTTTTGAATTATAAAACACACACACGTACTTTTATATATATATATATATATATATAAATTAAAGAAATAAAGAAATTAAAAGAAGTTTAAAAATCAGATCAAAAGTGAAAGAAAAACTCAAGATATGGGTGAAAGTTGTAAATTCGCAATAGTTAAGGGGTTGGGTCAGATGTAAACAGGTCCAAATCAGAAGGACCTGTTTTGTAAATTCGTCAGATCTGAAATTTTCAGAAACTTGAAAACGACATTCCGTTCGAAGCCTTCTAATGATCTGAATATTCAACTATTACGACAAAAAAATTACATATACATGTAGACAACACTTTGTTCTACATTTTTGCTTCAAGAAACCCGAACTTTCATTGAGTTTCGAAAGAGAAATTGGAGGTTGAAGTTCGGGTTCGAAAAGTTTCATTTATTGACGATTGGAGGTAAAATACTCAACCAAATTTCGAGTTCTTTATATGGATGGCTTCGTTTTTAGGTCATCTATGAAACCTTAGTAGTCTTATGTCTCAGATTTTAGTTATGAATGTTCGATTTTGAGTTTTTTTTACTGATTTTTGAGTGGTTTTAAAACCGTAACTTTAAACGAGCGTAGGAGACTCAATACTTGATGGTTTTCGTTGATTTTTGTTCCTATGGTTAAGGAAAATCATTTTCTAGAGATTTTTCAAAAAGAATCACCGAAAACGATGAATCATTTTCTAGAGATTGTTCCTATTGAGTATTTAAAGTATAAGATTTTTGTTAATTTATAGTTAATAAATTTCAGATTTAGTTAATTAGTTTATATTAACTCATTAATTTAAATTCTAAATTAGTTAATATATTAAATTGAATTAGTATTTAATAAGCTATTTGACCCATGTGGATATTAATGATGGGTCAAATAGAGTTGTTTGACGCATATTAAGATGCTCGGATACAAAGTTTGACTTTAGGTTGGGTCAGAATGATAATAGTTGACTTTTGTTGACTTTTTGAGAAATTAAGACGTTAATGAGATGTTATGGTATGAAATGTGTAGGCATTTGGTCATGAGCGATCGGTAGTCAATCTATACGCAATCAGGTGAGTCTTGATGAGACTTACAATGGGATGCATACCTATGTATAAATTTATTTTCGAGCATTATATGATTTATATGGTAATCTGTACATATGCATGATGTTTCAGTTTACATAAATGATATATTTTACATGTATGTTATTTTGTGAATGGTTACATGCTAAGTGTTTAATCAGTTTTCGAATAACTCTAGCATGTTGTTCCATATTAAAGTTTATGATTCAAGGGGTGGACATTTGATTAATAAGTCACGACCAGTATAAAACACGACCCTGATAAGTGGATGACCAATCAAGACTGACATATCAACCCAGGACGTGTTTGTGACTGAATGACCCATACCCGACTAAACATTATATGAGATCTCCTATTTTCAGTGTTTTAAATATATATATATATATATATATACATATATATATGTATATATTTTTAATGTTGTGACTTTTATTATAAAGCATGCATATTTGCCATATATATATATATATATATGTCAAGATATGATTTTATTCACGCAAACCATGAACTCACTTAGCTTTATAAGCTGACTACAATATGCATCTCAGGGCCAGGTAGTTCAAGGTTGGATAAGGGCAAAGGACACGCTTAGAGAGTTGCTAATTATCATCTTATTTTTAGTCTTTGTCTAGCAGTGTTTTGTCGATCTTTTGTAACTTAACCTGGTATGAGGTGGGTTAGAACTTAAGTTAATTTTTGGTTGATTCAAAGACTTCCGCTGTAAACGATTTAAACGGTTTTATTTTAGCCGTCTTTTGGAGTATTTATTTAGGAATTTGTTTCAGATTACGTAACATTCTCAAAAAAAATGAGGGTGTTACAAGTTGGTATCAGAGCTTTAGTTTAAGGTAATTAGGTTAAGATTTACTTAGCCTAAGGTTAAACTGAGAGGATTGTTAGAAGCACATGTTTATTGTGTATTAAGTATTGTTTATCATGCGATTAAGTTTGATCCTACATTACTACTTGACATAGTGTTCCGTTTATGACTTGTAGGAGACATGGTTCACACCATTCACACTAGGTCTATCAGACGCGGACGTGGACGTAGATACGGAACACGTAGGACACCTTACGGGTTAGGACCGAATAGAGGATCTATTGACAGTCACCGCTCCAGCGCCAGACATGTTTCCGGCACCCGGTCCAGAAGCGATAGTCTGGCCCACACTAGTGAAGTGTCATCACGAGAGCCCATCAGGCGAAGGACCACACCCAAGCCTTCGGAGGACTACACGCCCCGCACCCCTACACATGAGGACATGATGGAGACTATAGAGACCTTGAGGGGCGAGAACACAAAGCTAAGAGAGAGGTTGACTCGAACTTTAGATGGGAATACTAGACTGAATGAATGGCTGAGCAATCTTCAGCATGCACATGTAGAACAAGGAGGAGCCCTAAACGAGCTAATTGTAGAGAATGCAAATTTGTCGGAACAGCGTCATGCACTGATTTGGGATAAAGTTGTACTTGAGCAGGAGTGAAGAATTGTTGCTCGCCCCGTAGGCGCTAGATTTAGAGACAAAGTTCACTTCTATAAGAAAATGACCATAGACTATGTTGGTGTAGTGAGGGGCTATTTCTCCGACTGGGTCCAATGCATCAAAAATGGCCCAAAGGCTAGTGTGTTGTGGCATTCCAGGTCATCCACATCTTTTGAGGAGTGGTTGAGGGACCCTTATCTCCCTTATTACCCCGCAGATCAGTTTTAGACATADAATCCTTTTGAGAGAGGGGAGAGAGAAAGGTCTTTTGGGTATGTGATTTAATTGTGCGTGTCTAGATAGTTGATCGAATTTTCATCTAGTCCAGTGCTTCAATAGATTTTTTTGAGCATTCACATGATTTAGAGATGTGTTTAGAAATATGAAGTATCCCATCTTTTGTAAGTAAATGGGATTATGTAATGTCTCTCTCTCCATGATTGTTTACCGACACGAAATATATATAGCTTGCTGAGCATTATGAAATTTTCGACGTGAATTCCTTATTATGTATTTCGCTTATATGTAGTGATTATATTATATTATAAAATAGTAGTGTGTTATGTTTGACTTTAGAACATGTTAAAACGATAATACCCTATTATGTCAGTATGGTTTCTCGTGGATCAACAAGGAACGCCCTTAATGGGGGAGGTACTAATGGCGTGGCCCCACCAACAGTTCGAGGTCGGACACGAGCCCAAAGTCGAGGTCGHGGAAGTGTCCGAACCGCTAGTTCTAGTACGACTCCATCCGCGCAAGCTAATTTAGCTATCGGTAGGAGTCAAGGAGGCCGGGGWGAGRAAAATCCCCTCACAAAGGAAATGATAGCTGAGCAAATGACACAAGTCCTCCGGGATACATTGCCAAATATGCTTAAAGCAATGTTGGGTGACATATTTAAAGACAATGAAGATGGAGAGGAGGAAAGTGTTCGACACGAGAACACTCAAGCCACTAAAAAGGTGGAAGTATCTGCTAAAGAGAAGGTGGAGTCGCCCACCAACGAGAGAACTGAATTGACAATAAAGGAGAAATGATGCAGTTTTAAAACATTCAAAGGAACCGGGCCGAAAGAATTTAAGGGAATAGAGGGCCCAGTTCGCTTGATGAACTGGGTAACCAAGATGCAGAGTAACTTCAAAATTTGTAGATGCGCGGAAGATCAAAAAGTGACCTATGTTGCTACAACCTTTGTGGAATATGCATTGCATTGGTGGGAGTCTGAGTGTGCAATCAGAGGTGATGAAAATATTGTTGCCATGACTTGGGAGCAAATGAAAAAGATGATGATGGATAAGTATTGCACACAATCGGAGGTGAACAAGCTAGAATCAGAATTTCTGATATTAAAGCAAGGTTCGTTGTCGGTTCAAGAATATGTTAACGATTTTCTTGAGAAAGCGATGTTCGCCAGTTACCAGGTGGCTACCGAGGAGAGAAAGATAGGTCGCTTCAAATACGGCTTAAGAATTGAAATCAAACGGTACGTAGACATGACTAAACCGACCATATTTGTCCAAGCAGTGGAGATGGCGAAGGTGGCAGAGGAGAACAACGCTAGGGAGAATTGTGATAGAAAAGATGCAAAGAGAAGATGGGAAGGATCGAACAAGTTCAACAAGAAACCAAAATGGACTCCGACTCTGACAAAAACACGAAGCGAGGGATTCACTATTCCTCCATGTAACAAATGCAACAAGAGACATAGGGGAGAGTGCAGAGCAGGGAGCCTGACATGCTACAAATGTGACAAACCTGGGCGTACCGCGCAGGAGTGCCCAGAAGGAAAAACTTGTTATGAATGTGGGGCTACGGGACATTTATGACCTGACTGTCCAAAACATCGAAATGGTGCGACACCCCATGTAAAGACAGTGAATAATGGATTTGGGAAGAGATCAGAAGATAGGAAGGAGCTACCTAAGGGACACGGCCGAACTTACAACATGACTTTGGAGGAGGCCAAGGAAACACCCGATGTCGTATCTGGTATGTTCCCTATCAACAATGTGTATGCACATGTATTATTTGATTCGGGTGCAAATGGTAGTTTTGTGTCTACTACCTTCTGCCACTATCTGAATAGGAGTGCCTGTAGACTAGACAAAACCTACACTATAGAAACAGTCGACGGTAGTCAGTGTAAGGTAGACAAAGTATTTGATGAATGCACAATTGTTATAGATGGTAAGGATTTCCCTGTTATGCTTATGCCAATGTGTTTAGGGGGTTTTGACGTAGTCTTGGGGATGGATTGGCTGTCCAATAATCATGCGTACATAGTATGCAATAAAAATATGATCAAGATTCAAACTCTGGAAGGAGAAACAATTCATGTTTACGGCGATCGAAAGAAGTGTTGCGTAGGGTTAATCAATGTAGTTAAGGCGAATAGGTGTCTGCAGAAGGGATGTGTGGTTTACTTGGCATACACCATCGACGCCAAGCTCAAAAAGAAGATAATACATGATGTTCCAGTGGTGAAGGATTACCCAGAAGTATTTCCGGATGAATTGCCAGGAATACCACTGGAACGTCAAGTAGAGTTCCGAATCGATTTGGTACCAGGTGCGGCACCAATCGCAAGGGCGCCTTATCGTTTAGCCCAACAGAAATGCAAGAGCTGATGAAGCAATTGCAATATAAAGGGTTTATCAGGCCAAGCTCGTCGCCATGGGGAGCACCGATTTTATTCTTCAAAAAGAAAGACGGCACTATGAGATGTGCATCGATTATCAGGAGTTGAACAAAATCACGATAAAGAACAGATATCCACTACCAAGGATCGATGACCTCTTCGATCAGTTGCAAGGAGCCAGCTATTTCTCGAAAATCGATTTAAGATCGGGTTACCATCAGTTGAAGGTTCGAGAAGAGGATGTGTCGAAGACCGCTTTTAGGACACGTTACGGACATTACGAATTTGTAGTAATGTCGTTTGGGTTAACAAACGCACCTGCGACATTCATGGACTTAATGAATTGAGTTTGTTGATCGTATTTGGACCAATTTGTCATAGTCTTTATAGATGACATTTTGATCTATTCAAAAAGTAAAAAGGAGCATGAACAACACTTAAGAATGATTCTTGAATTACTAGCAARAGAGCAATTGTACGCCAAGTTCTCAAAATGTGAGTTTTGGTTRCATGAGGTACAATTYCTTRGTCACGTAGTCAACACGRAAGGGATMAAGGTGGATCCGGCTAAGATTGATGCAGTTATGAACTGGGAATCACCAAAGTCAGTATCGGAGATCCGAAGCTTTCTAGGCCTAGCCGGGTATTACCGAAGATTCATCCAAGATTTCTCCAAGATAGCAACGCCTTTGACAACACTGACAAAGAAGTTAGTTAAGTTTGATTGGGGAACGAAACAAGAAGAAGCATTTCAGACACTTAAGGAGAGACTAAGCACTGCACCGGTTTTATCACTACCGGAAGGAATAGAAGATTTTGTCGTTTATAGCGATGCATCAAAAATGGGTTTGGGTTTGGGTTGTGTACTAATGCAGCGAGGCAAGGTCATTGCATATGCGTCACGTCAGTTGAAAGAACACGAGAAGAGATACCCAACTCACGACATGGAATTAGCAGCTGTAGTCTTCGCGCTAAAAATCTGGAGACATTATTTGTACGGTACGAAGTGCATGATCTATACTGATCATAAGAGCCTTAAGTACTTGTTTGACCAAAAGGAGCTAAATATGAGACAAAGGAGATGGATGGAACTACTTAAGGAATATGATTGTGAGATTCACTACCACCCAGGTAAGGAAAATGTAGTTGCCGATGCACTTAGTAGGAAGGAGAGAACTGGACCAATCAGGGTTCGAGCCATGTGGATGAGTGTTAAAGTGGAGCTGCTAGACCGAATTCGGATGTCCAGAAGGAAGCTTTACTCGAAACGAGTATTAAAAAGGAGAGATGGAATATATAGACATGGGAATCGGGTTTGGATTCCTAGTTTGGGGGACCTAAGAAATGCAGTGATGGATGAAGCACATAAGTCCAAATATACTATGCATCCAGGTACTAATAAGATGTACAAGAATATAAAAGAAAGCTATTGGTGGCTTGGTATGAAAAGGGCAGTAGCTAGCTATGTGAGGAAATGCTTGACGTGCTTGAAAGTGAAGACAGAGCATCAAAAGCCGTCTGGAATGTTGCAACAAATGGAGATCCCAGTATGGAAGTGGGATATGTTAACGATGGATTTTGTCACCAAACTTCTAAGGACGGTAAAAAGACACGACGCCATATGGGTAATTGTGGATCGACTAACGAAATCTACTCATTTCTTACCGATCAGCGACAAGTATACGTTAGAAAGATTGGCCCAACTTTACGTCAATGAGATCGTGTCGAGACATGGTGTACCGATATCCATTGTCTCAGATAGAGATGCTAGGTTTACTTCGAGGTTTTGGTCAAGTTTTCAACAAGAAATGGTAACACGGTTGAACATGAGTACTGCATATCATCCTCAAACTGATGGCCAAAGTGAAAGGACGATACAAACGCTAGAGGATATGTTGAGAGCTTGTGTGATTGACTTTGGAGGTAGTTGGGACAACCACCTCCCGTTGATAGAATTTGTTTATAACAATAGTTACCACTCGAGCATCAAGGCGGCACCATTTGAAGCATTGTATGGCCGCAAGTGTAGAACCCCAATTTGTTGGGCAGACATTGGAGAGAGACAACTAGCTGGACCTGAGTTAGTCCAACAGACATCTGATAAAATAGTACAGATCAGGGAGAGGTTAAAGGTTGAGCAAGATAGACAAAAGAGTTATGCGGATAGAAGTTGTCGACCTTTGGAATTTCAGGTAGGTGATAAGGTCTTGTTGAAAATATCGCCATGGAAAGGGGTCGTAAGATTTGGAAAGAAAGGTAAGCTAAGTCCAAGGTATATCATACCATTTGAGATAACTGCAAGAGTGGGAGCAGTTGCTTATCGGTTGAAACTACCAAATGAGTTAGGTGGTATTCACGATACCTTTCATGT